AGTCAGATGAAATGTCAGTGGCTCCCTTTCCTCTCGGCACCGGGGGAGGGGGTTGGAATTAAAGCGCCGTTTTTTGTTTGTGTGTTGTCGCATTATTTACGGTAGAATTCTCGCTCGAATGAGCGACTCATGCCTTCAAGAATGGCGTTTGTACGACAGTTGTAAACAACACTGTGATGACCCGATAAGTGTGCTGGAAAAGTTGTAGTTTTGCAAAACAGTCGGTTGCGTGTATATGCTGTACATATATATGCTAATGAATTAGCAGTCAATGGTGAAAAAAACTGCAGCGCATTAAATATTGATGCGAATAAAAACATGACAGATACACTATGAGACCTCCTTTGCCAGTAGCAAGATATAGTAATAGGTTTTTACCCTTTAATCTGGCACCAAAACTGACACCTTTATACAAGGGATCATGTTTGCAATAACCACAACACAAGCAGTCAAAATGCAAACAAAAAGAGACAACTCTGATAATGATATTGGCACTGTCCTTGAAATTGATTAGTCCACACCCGAGACGGCTTTTCTTAGAGCCCTTAGTCTCCACTGGTGTTGGACCAGATGACGCCAAAAGGCGTACAACTCAAAAACAGCACACTATCAGAGTATTGAGAGCTCGGGGTAAGCCTTTACATTATGAAACCTTTGCCAGTAGCAAGATATAATAATAGGTTTTTACCCTTTTAGTGCATATCATTATCAGTGCACATCATTATCACAGTTGTCTCTTTTTGTTTGCATTTTGACTGCTTGTGTTGTGGTTATTGCAAACATGATCCCTTGTATAAAGGTGTCAGTTTTGGTGCCAGATAAAAGGGTAAAAACCTATTACTATAACATGACAGATGTTCAAGCGTAAGCCAACAAAGACTTGTAACCTGCTTGACAACGTCAGCGCAATGAATTCTCCGGAGGCAACGGGTGACCATCCCCTGGACTCGCGGCCTACGTCTGAGCGTGCGTTGGTCAACTCTCGCGTGTCGCCAAAGTTTATTGAAAATATTTCCATCCAAGAGCAGCTTTCCAGATGACTCCGTTCCCATGACCGGCCCTCACTCCCTCCCTCAATCCCTCCGGCTGGCTGGCTGGCTGCGTTCGAGGCATATAACTCGCAGACAAACACGCGCAACTCCGAGCGAGCACTCTTCATCCCATCCCCTTGTGGTTTTTTTGGGGGTTTTTGTTCCCACAAGTTGAAGGGGAGCGGGGTAAAACCCCCAAAGTAACTCCCTCCAAACTGTAAAGTTTCTGGTTACTCCCAGCAGAGCCCAAAGATCCAGGGAGCTCCCCCCCCCCGGTCTACTGTTGCAGCAGCAGCAGCGGCTGCGGCGGCGGCCGTGGCAGCTGCACAATGGGACGTTAACGCCACACTTTTATTTTACGAGTTTATCTTTTAAGGCCCCCCACCCACTCCGCCAAAGTAACAATCCGTGACCGGTTGAAGTGGAACCAGAAAAACGGGTTGCTAGCACGCCCACGCTCTGGCCAGCGTCGCTCGCTTGCGCTGCCGCACGCACGCAAGCGCAGGGCAGGGGGCGATGATGATGGCATGTACATGTGCCTTGGGGTAAGGTTAAGTATTATCCACCCCCCCCCACACCACACCAATCCCCTGCAAAGCCCCGTCATGGTGCTTTAACGTCCAATTGGTGGAGATGTCGCCGAATCTGGGACACCAGAGCCGTGGAACCGAGAGATATATCCGTTCTCCACGAGAAAAGGGCACAGCTGACCTCCGATCTCGTCCGAGTGAAACTGCACGCTCGGATTTCCTTTCTTCCTCCAATGAAATTCACAAAAAAACTCTGCCGCCGGTGGGGGGGGGGGGGGGCATCCCGACGCATCGGCATAATGTGAGGACAATTGTTGGTTGCAAAAAATGTAAATGCAATAGTTGGCACGGAATTTTCTCCAGAATTGTGACAAAAATGTCGACATTATGTCCAATCTGGCGACAAATCTGATTGCTTTTTCTCTAAGCCCCACGCCCCCCGCTGCCCCTCCTTCCAACTTCCAATCAGATCACAAACAGAGGTCACATGACTACCCAAGGTTGAGTACTATGCAGGCCAAGCACCTCCGATTGGAACGGTTGGCACGGTTGGCTACGTACGGTGCGAAAGAAGTTCAACATACCAAGGCCGTAGCCATGGGGTCAACATTGGGGGGGACAAAATCTTCCAGGGGGTCTGGGGGTTCCCCCCCCCCCAGAAAAAAATCTAAATTTGAAAACGAATTTCCTGCCTAAAATATGAAAAAATTAACTAACACATGGGGTGGACTTTTTATTATCTTTTTTACAATGTCTAATAGTGTATTGTATTACATTGCTCTGTTTTTCTTTTTTACCTTTTCTTGTATCATTGTATGTAATGACAGAGATTAGGGATTCATAAAGAACAACCATAACCACAATCATATAAACAGCAATCTATGCATTGTTTTATGAAGACAAGTCCAGATTTTGTGGCCAAGGTTTAGAAAATTGTTATTTTTATTTACATAGCACAGCAATGATTATTTTTTAATATTTTTATAGCAATATATTGGGGGGGACAGTTTGAGCATATTTACATATTGGGGGGGGGGGGGGGGGGCCTTGCAACATACATGCACATAAAAAGCGTCGTTCGCCAAAACACGCTTCTCAACAATCTCTCGACAGAACTTGACATAGTTGCTCGGTGTAAACGCGTTGCCGGTGACAATTACCAGCCACAAATTTCCAAACATTGCTGTAGTGTTTCATGGCCTTTGGATTGGGTGAACTTAACAACAAAAGCGACGGACTGAACCTTTTTTTTTCAACCAGTTAAACATTTCCAAGGTCCCTCTGCTAACATCCTTGAAAGAAAAAATAAGTTTTACAGCCTCGTTAAGAACTCTAAAAACATGCGCCCTCTGTTACACCGAACCAGAAAACCCAACGGCGTGAACCCTATGAAAATCCTCTACGCTAAAAGTGTCTTGTTTAAAAGGCGGCAATTCCTTTCTCGGGGCAGAGTGCGGCATTTAACGTAGAAAACCGAGCGGGAGCATTAAATGCTTCAAGCGAGCGGAAGTCAATTCGATTTAAACAACGCGATAAAAAAACAATTTACTCGGAACTGTGGCGCGTTAAGCATGACTACGAATGGCCTGCGTGATCAACGCGACAATACACAAACAACTAGAATGGCCTTGGTGATCAACGCGACAATACACAAACAACTAGAATGGCCTTGGTGATCAACGTGACAATACACAAACAACTAGAATGGCCTGCGTGATCAACGTGACAATACACAAACAACTAGAATGGCCTGCGTGATCAACGCGACAATACACAAACAACTAGAATGGCCTTGGTGATCAACGCGACAATACACAAACAACTAGAATGGCCTGCGTGATCAACGTGACAATACACAAACAACTAGAATGGCCTTCGTGATCAACACAACAATCCACAAGCAACTAGAATGGCCAAGTGATCGCCATTCTCTCGAATAGGCATTCGGTATTCGTTTCATGAGAAAGGGGCAGAAATTGCACATTTCATGTGCTGAGAGGTACCAGACTCTGTGAGCCATTTAGATAACTGCCGTTAACTTCTCCCCAAAAAATGTGGACTTCTTTTAGCAGCACGAAAGAAATGATGATGATGAAGGTGATGGTGAAGCTTAGAGCCAGACCAGGCTGGAATTCGAACTCACGGCGGCATCATTAAGCGGCCTTGCTGCCTTACGAAAAAAGGCATCACGCAATGTCTGCCCCAGGCATGTGGGAATAAATGTAGCAGCCGGCTCCTTGTGCGAGTGAGCAATGAGAGACGAATCCCCAGGCAGAGCACAGGTGAACGGGCAAGTAGTCAGTCATTCAGCCGGAAAAAAAGTTAATAATCCTATGGGCAAAGTGAGCGAGTGAACTTGGCCAGCGAGTTAGCCAACTCGATAAATGAGTGAACTCGGTGAGTGGATGAATTTCGCGGCGAGTGAGTTAGTGAACTCATGAGTGAGTGAACTTGAGCGAGTGAACTTATGAGTGAACTTGTGAGCGAGTGAGCACTCCTAAGTTGTTGCTGTTTTCCTCCCCCCCGGCACTTCCAATTAGCACGATTGACTACGTACGGTGCGAAGGAAGTTCACTATAGTACATACGTACGGGCATGCGTGCCAACTTGGGGTGCACGCCAGCAAAATTGGGATCGAGTGAGCGAGCTATTTAGCCGGCCAGTGAACTTGGGAATCAGTTACCGAGTGAGTGAACCGAGGGGGTGAGTGAGAGCGGGTACTACTGGGCATACAAATTATCCACTGTGAATGAGAATTGAGCCCAGGAATGCATCTCAATGTGGATTATGCTAATTACAGTTTCATTGATCTCCCAACAGCAGTTCAACCCACAATGCAAGAAATGAACTGTGAATGAGCGAGTGAGAAGACTTGGTGCTGCTGGTAGTTCTATACGAGCGAGCGAGCGCATTCATTTGGGTGTACGCGCGCATCGTACGGACGCGTGTATTCATGCGCTTTACACAAAGACAAAGATGCCCTATTAACAGACCGTTGGGACAAACGTGCTGGTGGCGAGCACATATGGACAGTGCTACGCACAGAGAAGACATAAAGAAGCATGCACGGGGCTACACGTACAGACACAGACTAAGAGACAAGCAGAAGCATTTACAGTAGGACAACACAGAGACAGACGCAGAGGCTGCGCGTAAACACAAGAGTTTGCAGTCCTTATCCCACACTTCCGATTAGCACGGTTGGCTACGTACGGTGCGAAAGAAGTCCAACGTACATACTTACAAAGGCAAGCGGAAATGACACAAAGATCCCACATAAAGCCATAAACAGACTGTCGGGGTTCAAGTGCCGTTTGCGAGCAGCAGCGGCGCCTACTAAGACCGGCGCGGCGCACCAAGTCGCGTGTGGCCAAATCACTACCCCCGGCCGCCTTTGTACCCCCCCCATCCCCCACCATCGCTGTCGTGCGAAGCCCACCTGCGTAGTGCACGGGGATCTCGATCTTGGGCCCCACCACGTAGTGGCCCTCCTCCAGGCTGTGCGCCGTCACCGCGGTCCACTGGCGGCACGAGTGGACGAGCACCAGGTCCCCATCGCGCAGGCCCTCAATCGCCTGGCCTGCACGCACGCACGCACAAGGATCAATACTTTTATTGGCGCGCCTATGAAGGCCGGCAAAAAGGGCACACGATGGGGTGGGTGGCCAGCATCACGCCCGGCCGCCTTTGTCTCTTCCCGGTGACGACGCTCACAGGCTGCACCGGGTGCGCATTTGAAGACGAGTCAAGCTAGGGGAGGCCCAGAACCGGTTCAGACGTTGGCCGTGGACGGGAATCGAACTCTGGTTGCCAGGTTTTTGTAGTGCAGAACGCCAACCACTATGCCCTGGCTGCCCCCCGCAGTATGGTACATGAAACGCACGAGCGTACGCGAATGTTTACAAATGTAGTTGGGCAACCAGACGCCCAAAATCATAGATAAGTGGGATAATGTTGGGGATGGTGCTGCTAACAGGCATCAATTAGATCACGCGATACAGATGCCTGGGTAAACAAGCATGATAAATAAATAAACAAACATTCAAGCTCAACTGGTTTAATTATTAATCCCACTTCATCACTCATGTCGATCACAATATTGCATTTGTTTTTTTGGGCTCAGCCGATTTAAGTGAGACGCAGACCAGGTTTAGAGTTAGTAGTCGCCACCGGTACCCTGTGCCTGGGATCGAACCCAGGTAGGGATGGTCGGCCATTGCCACATACACAGACACACTCAGTCACCATTGCCAAAACGCGGACACGCGAACATCAACTGTGATTTCTAGCCAGCCGTGTCATCTCATCGCGCGCACTTAATCGCACCGTAGCCGGCGCTCGCCCCTTCGAGCCCATTCCATTTGAATCCCACTCCCTCAAGCGGTCCGTGTATCACCAGCCACGGGCAGAGGCATGCCATGCAAGCCGTGCCCCCCCCCCCCCCCCAAAAAACGCAATATCATTCCCGCTAAGATGCGAGGAATACAAGCACTCGCAGGCAGACGGCGGCTCTGGCTTTTATCGTTACTTTCGTGAATAAATAAAACTGAGAATGCCGACAGTCGAGTATGGCACCGCGACTCGTTCGCACCAAATGTGCACATTGTGGGAGATCCCTGTTTGTGACCTTACCCATGCGGTTCTTCTCTTAGTGTCTCGTTGAGTTACCGCACACACGTGTTTTCTTTTTGTACGGGGGGGGGGGGGGAACAATCTAAGCTGCGTGGTTAATCTGTCTGGCTCGCTGGGTCGAATTTCAGCTAAACACGCATAAGCGACATTTCTGCGCATACACGCACACAGACACTTAGTCCCGCGCGCTCACACACACAAACGCAAAGATAGATGCCCTATTTAGCCTTATAGACTATACGAGGAAGTGATGTTAGCGAGCACCTATTAATGTAGTCGTATAGCCAGCACCAAGCACGTGATTACACACCGCGATAATTTAATGCCCGGTCAACCTCGAGGGGGGGACTATGCTCGTTTCAAATCCCACATGCAACGGACATTTTCCGTAGAATGCAATAGAACTCGTGTACATGGTATTGTAAAACTATTTTAAGTAAAATAAACATATTTTATTTTACCAGGTAAGGCCCACTGAGGTGTATAGTAGCTCTTTTAACAGAAACGACCTGGCCACAAATGATAGCTCAGTGGCTTATCGCGTGGAAATTTGCAGCAGCCAAATACTCAAAACGCACGTTGATTCTAAATGTGGAGGGGGAAAAAACCGGAGGATCCGGAGAGAAAAACCACGCGACCACGGGGAGAGAGACACCGCAAACTCCAAATACGCAGGCGTCAGGGTCGGGATTGAACCCGTGACCTCCTGTATGCCAGGCGAGGTAGTTAACATCTCATCAGGGTCGGGATCGAACCCGTGACCTCCTGTATGCCAGGCGAGGTAGTTAACATCTCATCAGGGTCGGGATCGAACCCGTGACCTCCTGTATGCCAGGCGAGGTAGTTAACATCTCATCAGGGTCGGGATCGAACCCACGACCTCCTGTATGCCAGGCGAGGTAATTAACATCTCATCAGGGTCGGGGTCGAACCCACGACCTCCTGTATACCAGGCGAGGTAGTTAACATCTCATCATGGTCGGGGTCGAACCCGTGACCTCCTGTATGCCAGGCGAGGTAATTAACATCTCATCAGAGTCGGGATCGAACCCACGACCTCCTGTATACCAGGCGAGGTAGTTAACATCTCATCAGGGTCGGGATCGAACCCGTGACCTCCTGTATGCCAGGCGAGGTAGTCGACACCGGATCGGATAATCGCCACCGATGTTGCCCTCAGCCGGGACTCGAACCTAGGTCGCTGGGGTTCGTAACGCAGGACACGAACCACTGCTCCGACCCAGTTAATGTGTCCGCGCGCACGCACGCACTACGAGAAGACCAATTCACACACAACGCAAACGAGGTTGCGGATGAGTAGCAGATGGGAGGCTGTGCGTGCGCATTCCTCTCGTCAATACAGTGCAGCGATCCACTCCCTCCCCCCCTTGTTCTTTGTTTGCGAAGCCACTCCGGCAATAACGGAATTCCGAGCACGGATTTCTGCGGACCATCCCGTGGCTATTTGGTAGTGGTAACATTCTTAACAAACAACAGGCTATTTAAACACTGCCTGCCAAATTGGCTGACTGGCTGCGAAAAGCTTTAAGCACAGCTCAGAGGATTTTGTTTTATCCCCCCCACGCCCCCCCCCCCTTTAATTCACTTAATGCAGTCTGACACAGCAATGAAAGAGCGGGAGCACCATGGCAATATAATTGGACGTTTTCCAGCACGGATCAGTTGAACTGCATCACCCTGCTCAAGAGTGCGCTTGGAGTTGCTCAAGTTTTGTTCGTGGCCCCCAGGCCCAGTGCTGGGAATTCCACATTTCTATGGCAGCGAGCAATTGTCCCCACACGTAGCAACCACTGCTGCCCGACCTCCCACCGAAGCTGTGGAGCCTCACAAGGCAGAATTTGTTCTACAGATCTCACAGGGATGATCGGCGATAACGATGATGGTAAATTTGACACGTACGCTTTCGTGACCGATATTATTCACGATAACAAAAAAATTTTGGGGGGGGGGGGCGGGGGGGGGGTGTTAGATCGCGTAAAATGTTAATGTCATACACCCACCTCCACCCGACACAACCAATTGGTAATGCGTGTTACGTGAACAGACTGCGCAAATGTGTTACTACTACGTTGTAGAGCAAACCCACAACATTTACAATTTGAGTTAATGACGTTTCACTGGTGATTATAACCAGCATCATCACGCGATTGCCAGAATTGTGAAGATGTATTCCAAAACAGGAAGACGTCATGGATGATGATGATGATGACGACAATGGTCCGCTAAGCTAACCCTGGCCAGGACATGAACCTGCACGCCATACAAATTGGATCTGTCCTATAGCTCTACAAGTTAGGCATTCCCAATCTCAAAATTATACAAATGTAGACAATGGTCGGCATGTAATGATGAAATAAAGCAATATTTTAGTCCACAAGCCAATTAAGTCATCAGGACCAGAGTTTTCAGGCCGCATTTTTTCTGCTGCGCAGGCAAATTCTGAACCGGTGTCAACTTCCTGATGTCTCATCAGCAAGGGTCAGTCCAAACCTGTTATACAAACACTGTACTGCTGGGTTGACCGACGTTGTAGGAATATAGTGCTCCTGCATGAACACCGCCCGTTCAGTGTAAAACAGCAAGGCCGTTTTATTGTTTGTTTCACAAGCGATGAGATGCGAATGACAAAATAAATTAGAGGGGAAAAAAAATCGAGATCTTCCGCCAACTGCGAGCGGCGCTTTATAGACGCAAGACAAAACTAATAACACACTGCCGAGGTGTGGGCAGACACCGTTCCAGAGTGTCGAGGGCGAGAGTCCCTTCGCTGCTGTTCAACGAAGAACCCCTTCGTGTCAAACGAAAAGAAGACGCCTGCAAGGAGTCGCCACCGATTGTTCGCGCGCGCCCCGCGAACAATGCGCACCGAACGCCGTCACCGCCACGGCAAAGTCTCAAACAGGTTCCAGCGGATGGCTCGTGGCTTTGCGCTGTCGCAGATATTTCTCGGCCGCCCGAGGCAAGGAGAGTGTGCGTGAGCAGCCCGCAAAAAAGGTCAGGGAATTTGTCAGCATCGCGTGGAAACCATGGGCAACTCTGGCGTGCATACTCGTGCAAAGGTAAAGGCAAAGGTCACCCGTATAGGCTTAACAGAGTGTTGGGGCAAGTGCTGTTCGCGAGCACCTATGAAGGCCCGTACGGCGCACGAGGGGGTGGGTGGCCAGCACCATGCCCGAACGCCTTTGTCTTCCTAGTAGTGATATATTTACACACTACACCAGGTCCTAATTTGAGGCTGAGTAGCCCTAGGGGAGGCCCATGACCAGTTCAGATAATCATCACTGGTGTTGGCCGTGAGCGGGAATCGAACTCGGGTCACCGGATTTGTAGCACAGCGCGCTAACCACTACACAACCTTTCCACACATACACACGTGCACACACTCACACGTGCACGCACTCACACTCACACGTGCACGCACTCACACTCACACGTGCACGCACTCACACACACACACATCCATGAGTGTAATGCCCAAGAGCTGTAAATGATTCTTCTTCATAATGTATACTTTACTGCAATGACGTACACTATACAGATTATCATAACATCTGGCCAGGTAGCATGGCCAAAACCATTCAAAACAACAACATTTCCATTCAAAAAGTGTCCAAAATGGGCATCAATGTGCTGCACAGATATATATAGTTATATGAAAGGCAATCACTCATGGGCAGAGGAAAACACAAATCTCTTCAGCCTAGAGTTGAACAAGGGCAGCGACTCGACAGCACGGATGGTTTGGGAGAAGTTTGTGCCAAACTATGGTGGCAGCAGAGGATAATTGAGTGGCGTCCCAACTGAGCGAAGCTGACTCAACAGAAAGCGTTGGTTGCTGGAGCCGAGAGTACTTGGGGGTAGAGTGAGATGTGAAAGATGGGGGGGGGGGGTAGGCAGGGGGCGAGGTATAGCGAGTGCACCCTTGAA